AATAATATTATATTTACATCTTTTATGTTAGAACTCTATTTCCCTACAGAGGCAATTTAAAGGAGAAATTTTGTACTAAAGAGGACTATACTGCCTTCAAGGTCGGTCAATTTTAACATTTTCTACTTTTCTTCCTGGAGCTATTAGCCCCAAATTATAGAGCACTGGGGTTTTGTTGTTGGTTTTGAGTTTTTTTTGACAGCCTTTATATATGAATGGTGTTCTGTCCTGACCCATGGACTTCCCCTGGGCTGGAAGCTCTGCAGTGGAAGGAAAATGGCACGTACAGGAAAACATAGGAAAGTGCAAGACTCTTGGAAATGTTTAGTTTGGATTTAAAGAAAAAAAATTTTTTTTAACATCCAAACAGCTTTGGCACATTTCCTAATCTTCTCAGCCAAGTGTAATTTGTTAGAGCCAAACAGGACCTTGAAAATCATGTCATCCTCTTGCTTTTGTTTACTTAGAAGTCCCAGAGAGTTTATCATATTTCCAGAGAAGGTCACAGAGCTGATTACAGAGAGAGCCAAGCCCGGAACTACGCCTCAGTTCACGGCTTCCTGAGAGTGTGTGCTCCAGTGAAGCCCACTAGATTGTCAGGCCATTATCCCCCAAATGGATCATAAAATGCCAAAAGTGCAGTGGATTTTATTTTAAAGTCAAAATATGCGTATAAACCATACAACACTTTTAGAAGGGGTGATCCTGGGAGGCCCTGTGGCAATTAGCTCTAACCTAGGTTTGTGAATTCCTACTCCACAACTAAACTCTGTGCTGTGACCTTGGCAAATGGTCCTTGTTTTTTTCAGTCTTCTTTTTCTTATCTGTAAAATAGAGATAAAATTGCCTACCTCACTGGGCTTTTGTGAGAATAGGATAAGATTTGTACAGCACATAGCGTGGTGCCTGGTTCCTGGTTCCCTAGTGAGCTCGGCAGTTACTGTTTGAAGAAAACTCTTTCAAGCTTTTCATAATAATCTCAGAAAAAGTAAACATTTTTAAACATTGACAATATTTATGTGTTAAATTATTCTTATAGTAGGGAGACTTCAAAGACTAAATACTTAAAAAAAATTTTGAATACTTATTGTACATGGTATAAAATTTAAAAGGTGCAAAAGCAAACACAATGAAAAGTAATTTTTCTTTTTCTCCCCATGCTTCCCACACCACTCCCAGCTTATAACTTTCTTTTTCTGAAAACTCATTTTACCAATGTTTTTGTGTATCCTTGTGGACACATTCTAAGCATATACTCATTAAGTTTTAAATATTAGTTCTATCTTCACCCTTCCCTCTAATCTCTTGCTAATAGGGCTAACTATAGCTCTACATCAGTACTGTACAGTACTTTCTGTGAAAAAAGAAGTGTTCTGTGTGTATGTCCAATAGAGTACCTGCTAGCATATCAGTCTATTGAGCTCTTGAAATGTGTTTCTTACAACTAAAGAACTGAATTTTAAATTTTTATTTAATTTGATTAAATTTAATAACCATAAGTGACTGGCTACTGACTACCCTATTGGACAGTGCCATGCTAAATATTTATGTCAATGGTACTTTTTTCAGAATCATATAGAACCACTAATTTAATATTAATTAAAGAAGTCTATAGTTTAATGCATTTTAAATTTTATATGGCTTACATATTTTCTTTTTAAGTCAATTATCTAAATAAGGAGGTGGGAGTTTATTTTTGAGAGCATGCTGCTAATCACAAAGCTGTGAAATGGCATGTTTGTAGGACAGATCTCAACCAACACGGGACATAAAGGCTCATTATCCATTCATTCATTTAAGAAACATTTATTGAGTACCTAATGTGTGCCATGCACAGGCCCTGGGAGCACAGCCCGTAAAAGAACAAACCCCTGCCTGCGTGAAGCTTTCTCTCTGAGCACTAATGCATGCCTCATCGTTTGGCACCTTTTCGTGTTGTATTCCCCTAGGTGTCAGCAAGCAAGGGAAGAAATCTCTGCAGAAAGGAACTTGCTCCATCCAGGCCCTGGCTTTGATTCCTGCCAGTGCCCTGAACTCATTTCCTTTAGTAAAGGAAAAAGCTTCAGAGGAAAAACAGTTTTCATTTAACTACTAAAAATGATTTCTTTAGTAGTATCACCTTATTTATTTCTTCAGTCTGCTGACTCTGGGCTCAGACAGTAGTGGGTATATGTGTATCCTGCAAGTGCCCTTGCTGTTTTAATGTAAAAAAGCCAATAGATTCCAGAATTAAAAAGCTCTTTAATATTCCATTACAGAAAGGTATAAATAAGAAGTTTGGAGTCAAGGCATTGAGAGCCCTGCTGCCACATTCTTCTGTCTTTGGGGAAGATCAAATTAAAAACACTTCATTTATGTAATTGTGATCTTTTTTAAAGAAAGACAAATGCGGCATAACAAAATAAAAATTTGAGTTTTGTTTATTCATACAGCAATCAAATGTAAATATATTTCGTTATTTTTTAATCTGTCATCTGTTTAAGATGATGTGCCAAGTATTTTTAAGTTCACAATATAAATAAGTGTATATTTGGGGTCATTAAAAAAGCTTAGAGGAAATAAGGGGAATTCATTTTTCTGTAAGACCTTTTTTTCCCCGAGTTTACCTTAATTTAGTGATAACAAATTCCTATTGTGTGAATGTCTTACTATGGTAAATAATGACTTGAAAAACAAAAGAGAAGGCCTAAAAGGTAAAAGCCCTAAAAAGAAACATTTGAAGAATATTAACTGTACCACATTCATCAGGTTGGCCATTATTCCTCCTTGGAAAAGGTGTTTAAAAAGTGTATTTCTATGCTTGGAAGGAAGCATTTCACAAAGAGGTTCCAGAAACACATCTGATTTCCAGTTGCAAGATCAGAATGTTCCAGTTATATTGATAACCTCCAGAGAAAGAAATTCTCATAAGTACTCTAGTCCAAACAAAAGATGTAGCTTATTGTAGGATTTCTAAAGCATTAAATTGTACTTTGTTTTCTGTTAAGCAAGTTTGGTATTTCTATTTTCTAGCATTTTTCCTGAAACAACAACTATATTTGGCATCTATATGTGTTGACAATAACAGTCTGTGTAGAAAAGGGGGGGAATGAATAAAACAGTATATATCCCATTTTGTTATTTCCGTGTATGAAAATCAGCCTGTAATGAGATGTCCCCAGACAATGCTGCTGTTCATCAACACGCATGCCCTAGATCTGATTGAGTTTAATTATCGTGGGGACAGTGAAATGAGGACATTTGAATCAACTTAAAGTGGAAAAGTTCAGAAGATTGAGAAGCAGCATGTCTTAGTCCACATAGAACTAATTGTTGACATCTCTTTTCTCTCCTCATAGAAGGAATCTCTTCTGGATGGGGGACCACAGGGGTTATCTCAAGCATGTTTTCAATCAGCCAGTACTTCACAACAATAAGATCAGCCCCATCCATAGAAAGCATTTTGGATGAAGAGATCAGCCCTTTGCATAGGCAAACCTCCCTGTGTAAAGAGATGATCTCTGTATGGTATCTAGATCACCACATAGTAATTTCTGCCTCATACAGTAATCTCAATTGGGAGAGAAATTATTTTGTTGGGAACATTATCTGACTCAGTATTGCAAAGAGCCACCTGCTCTTTTACCAGAAAAAGTTTAAAATCTGAGGGTAGACTAGTACTTTTGCAAGCCCTCCCCCAGGCAGTGGGGCCAGGATTTGGGTAGCTGGTACTGAGAGAAAACCCTTGATTTCATCCTTGCCCTGGGACTGTACCAATGGCAACTGTCGCTCAACTGGACAGACAAAAACAAAATAAAACTTAAAAATCTGAGGATAGAAAATGCAAACATGTTTACTCAAAATAATCTCTTTTTATGAGTCTCCAATTTTGTTTCGTTTATGATTTTTTTTCTTTTTTAACAAGAGAACATAAAAAGATAGCCAAACTAAGAGATGGCGAGTATATTCATTTATGGCTTTTGTTCAGTTTTTCTGCTCTCATTTATTAGCCAATGGAAATCTGAGAACCAGGCTGCTCAGTGTTTGGTGAATAATAGCCTGGCTGAAATATCTTGTTGGAATATGGGATCTTGATCCCCAGAACTGAATGGGTCATGTATCTTACCATGCTTAGTTCTCATGTCATCATATGATTCTAGTAGGAAATATTTTACTATTTCTGTTTCTGTTTGTTTTGTGTTATGTATTGACATATATCATCTCAATTAATCCTAATAAAAGACCCTGTTAGATAGCTACAGAAGTACAATTATCACCATTTAATATGTGGGAAAACTGAGGCTCAAGGAGTTAAGTCTCTAGCCTGAAGTCAGAGTTCTCTTAAGGGTCAAATCCTCAAGGAGACTCTCAAATTGATGTGTCCAACCAGACTATAATATAATAGCTGACTGATAGCATTCATTAATATATTCGATGCTTTCAATTCTTTACTCCTCAGTCAAAGATGTATAAAAGATGAAGTTTATCATAATTCACTGAAATCCAGTAACTCAAAATATTTTCCAATTTGATGTATCACTCTGTGATTAACTGATGTGTCATTCTTGAGAATGTTTTTGCCTTATCAGCATATAAACTCTGAAAACAAGGCCTTTGGCCTCTACGTATATGTGGCACTCTGCTCATATGTAAATATATTTTTAATTATGGCCCCTTTCCTGTGCTTAGAAAGGATCTAGACACAGTTAGCTTTCTCTTACACATTTCTATTTTCTTCACCCTCTCGAGGAATCTCATTTTTCTTTAAGCCTAGAGCATTTCCCATTAATTTTCTGAGACATAGTACTGAGGATATAAAATTGAGGAAAGGCCACAGGTCTCACATAAGAATTTTTAAATGATTAGGAAAGGAAAAATTACAGAAAAATCTGATTAACAATATTATAATGAAGGTGTTTTCTGTATCAGTTAATTAGTTTTCAAAGCCCAACAGCATGAAATTAACATGATTTCTACTAGCAAATCATTTCTCTAGTGTTTCCTTTATTTTTCATTCCTAGATTGAAAAAGAAAAAACAAGCCAAACAACATGCAGAGACAGCCTCAGCTACAGCTGCGAGGACTCACACTGGGAAAGAAGATGCTAATACGGTCATTTTAGAACAAGACAAGTGCACCATTGCTGTGGAAGAGGAATATGTTACTGATGAGAAAAAAAAGAGAAAAAATAATCAGTTAAAGGAGATCAGGCGTACAGAACTAAAGAGATATTATAGTACTGGTGAGTATTGGTGGCACGACTGAAGTTATCCTTATTTTAAAAATCTGTAATAATTTTTAAAAGACTATAATTTGTAAATGATCATCATCATAATGAAAATAACAGGTCATTGAGCAGCTACTACATGCCCCAAGCCCTTGATTTATATAATTGACCATTGAACATTGCAGGGATTAAGGGCATGGACCCTTCACACAGTTGAAAATCCACATATAACTTTCAGCTTCCCAAAAGCTTAACTACTAATAGCCTACTGTTAACCCAAAGCCTTACTGATAGTATAAACAGTCGATTAACACGTATTTTATATGTTATATGTATTATATACTGTATTTTCACAATAAAGTGAACTAGAGAAAAGAACTTGTTATTAAGAAAATCATAAAGAAAAAATACATTTACAGTATTTACTGGAAAAAATCCACGTGTAAGTGGATCTGTGCAGTTCAAACCATGATTGTTCAAGGGCCAGCTGTGTACATAATCTTGTGTAAAAGGATAACAATGAAATAATATTGTGTCTTATTCAACTTTGTGTTCTCAGCATCTAGCATAGTGCCTCGCATGTATTGTGCATTACTAAATATCTGATGAATGGTTACTTTTTCTGTATGACAAATATTATTTTTCTTGTTGTATATAGATGTATACATAAAAGTGTTGATAGAAACGCCTGCACTTTTTGGCATCAGCTAGGCAATAGAAAATGGAGGAGACATGACCTAGCATCTGTCAGTTAAAAAAATGTATATACTTGAGAGTTTTAGTTAAAGGGGATCTTAAAATGAGTGCACAGTGTTGTACAGCTTCTCAGAATAGCCACTGATCTGAAACTGCACTAGCAGAAGTGTCATATCCAACTTTACTTGGATCATCCTTCTCCCGCCTACTGTTCTGTCATATGCAGGCCTGGAGTATGTTCTAGAGAGAATGCAAATAAAAAGTACCAGGAGTCAGAACTTGAAGTGGCATCCAGATTGTGGCATACTCAAGACTTCAAGGCAAAGGAAGAGAAAACTGAGGGAGGTCTCTGAGCACACTCTGCAAGAACAGTATATGAAATGTGGTAGCAGAGCATTAAGACTTGTTCTCGAAGACCCTAAACTTGGTCCCAGTTAATGCCAAAGTTACAGGGAGACATATTGGTCTTGATGGTTAATGTAAATTTCTAACAGTACTCAGCAAAGATGAAATGGACGGCCCTTGAGGTGGTGATAAGTGCTGCATCACTGACATTGCTCCAGCAGAGGCACATGAGGTATCTGCAGCTGCAATGTGCTTTGTAGCATTACAGTGGGCTAGGATGATTGTATAATGTATCACATAGCTTAATGGATGCTCTTAATCTCAAGCCATTGTAATATTTTATAAAAAGCTATAACTGTCAACCTACTGAAAGAGGTTGTGATTAATGAACTTCCTCTTAAAATTCACATCTTCTTTTACATATGATTTCTCACTGCATTAGGATAGCTTTTTAATGTGGTATATACTCTGTTGCATGTGTAACGCCGAGTCTGAAACAGTACCCTTCTCTGTAGGTGACTAAATCTTAGTTGACTCTACAAAATCAGCTCAGTCATTATTTCTTCTGGAAGGACTTCCCTGTCCCTGTCCAGGTTAGACTTCCTTTCTGCATTGTTGTCATGGATTTATCTCATTCCCTATTTACAGGCTGGGGTGACTTAGACCCTGCTGTATTAGCTTTATATAGTGTCTGCAGCATTACAGGTGTTCTTTAAATGTGCGTTGAATGGAACAATTAATACATAGATGAATGAATGCTCTGGGGGTTTTTTTGGTTTTTTTTTTTTGAGTCTCATGAAACTTCTGGAAGGAAATAGGTGACAGCGTAGTTGTTGGGTCAGAATTACCCTATGATTTTATTAGGTAGCAATAAATAAAGAGACACTATTACAGCTTGTCGTCTTCTCTCAAGAATGATAATGATAATAATTAGTTTGGAGGTTTGGGGCATTTCCTCAGGAGAATCCAGTGCTTAGATAGAACCTCTCAGTGGGCCACTGAATTCCAGGACTCCTTGGCCCTTTCCACATCTGACTGTAGCTGACAAACTCCCAAGTTGGCAGGTTTGCTTCATCTCGCAAGGTCTGTCTGGCGAATCCCCATGATTCCCAGTCTAGGGTGATGTTCTGTGCCACTAGGTGGAGCCTCAGACCTCACATCAAGGGTTATCTCACATTCAGTTCAAGATTCTTTTGGTGGCTCTCCTCCGGGGGAAAGAGACACAAAATGGGAAGATCTTGTTGACCCACCAAGGATTTGTACTTTATCCTGTAGTCAACAGGGAGTTGTTGGAGGAACTCATTAACTCTGTGCTGGCCTGAGACTGGGGCTGAGGAGTAAGGGTACACTGAGGAGAGATTTTTCTTGTAGAAACAGCAGTATTTGGTGATCATTGTAGTGTGTCAGAGAGAAAAACAACAAAGTCAAGAATTGACAAAATAGGAAACTCAAGAAGGAAGATAATGAATTCATGTTTGGAGGTGTTTCTGAAGTATCAAATGAATTTGTTTAGAGGAACCCAGATTTCAGGGGAAATGCTTGTAATTGCTATTTACAGGTATGAGGTGAATCCATATGTGTAAAAAATGTAACTCAGAGAACACAAAGACTCAAAACGAAAAGTTAGTGGACAACCAATGATAACGTATGAATAGGAAAAAAAAAGACTAGGAGGATATGTAACATTATGTTGATAGTTGTTTTCTCTGGAACAGAAGTTGCCAGGAAATTCGTTTTCTTCTTTTTAAAATTTTTTTTAATTTTTGGCACATGACACACTATATAGTTACTTTTAACAAGAAAAAAATAGAGAAAACTTCATGTAATAGAGTAAAAGCAAGGGCTTTGCAAAAAGAATGTTAGACAAATATAAAGTTCAACAAACAGTATATAAGAAAGTAATCACTTTCTGTTGGTATCCATTCCTCACCTGTACGTTACCTGCCTGCTCTGAAGAAGCATATTTTGACAAAATAATGTTTTTACTTGTTGAATTAGATTTATCTGTGCCTCACTTAAGCCTAGGGTCATAATTCATTGCTATCTCCTGACACTTAAAAGAATAGTTAAGATACTGGTAAAAGATGTTCTGGAGGGGCTGGCCCGGTGGCGCACTGGAGAGTGCGCTGCTTGGGAGTGCGGCGGCACTCCTGCCGAGGGTTCGGATCCCATGTGGAGACCGGTTCCCACTCACTGGCTGAGCGCGGTGCGGGCGCAACACCGAGGGTTGCGATACCGTTGCGGGTCCCCGGTACGGGCGCGACACCGAGGGTTGCGATCCCGTTACCGGTCAGTAAAAAAGACAAAAAGGAAAAAAAAAAAGATGTTCTGGAAAGATTGAGTCACTAGAATTGCCCCATTGTAACAACATGTTGCTGATTCTAAAAATGTTTTGTTTTGCTTTTGAGAGGGGAGTAGGAGAAAGGAAGTGGAGTAATTGTGTTGAGAAAGATAGCATCAGATAAATGTGGATCCAACAGCTAGTGCAGTACCTGGCACACACACTAAGCATCAAAAAAGAAGCTTCTAGAATAAGTGAACTCAACCCTTCTGTAGTTGCATTTGTATTTGCTAATATGTAGGTCTCTTTTTTTCCCATTTCTGTTTATTTACATAAACTCTTAAGGAATTGTTTGGTAATAATGTGTCTTAATGTATTTTGCATTAAGTGTCTTAGTAGTTAAATTTGACAGAAGTATGTTATAATGTTTGTAAATGTATCAAGAGATGTATGGTCTGTACTACAGTATTAAAATGTATGAAATTGTCATGAATTATATCACAAGATACTTTTATATTTAAGGAATTCATTATATTTAACCTTAGAATAGTCGCACATCTTTGATTCTAAGAACATGGAGATAGGAATGGGAATTTTACAAATGTGGAAAACATTTCATTATAGGGAAGTTCTTCAATTGAACATAGCTATGCCAGCCTAAGACTGGAAAGAGATGAAGAAATTTTATAAATAAAGGAGGCAAACCTGAATTGGAATAAAATATATCATTATTATTATTATTATTTATTATTATTATTATTATTTAATGTTTTAATGTAAAAGGTTAACACTAAGAATCCTGGATAGTAAAGTAGAAATTTTAAGAGAATTATACTTGGGAAGTCATTATTACAGACCCAAGAGGCTTAAATAGGAGCATGGGTAGTTTTGAGAAGATCATAGTTAAAGATTTATTTAAGAAGAACCTTTACAGTATGAAGAATGAATTTAGCTTTTCAATAATAACTCCGTAATATCAATATTAATCATTTCAAATCATAGTTTCCCCTCTTGACTTCAAAAGAAACTTAGCAAGAAAAAAAATAACAAATGAAATTCTCTGCTTTTTCTTTGCTATACATTTTTGGTTTTTAGGACAACATGAAAGTAGCCACTACTGAGTTATTTCCCACAGTGGCAACCCTAACACTTTTCCATACAGAGATTACTTTTTATTAAGTGTTTTGTTTTGTTTTGTTTTTGTTTTTAGCCACATGTGTGAAGATTTCATCGATGTCATTTGTCTTTATTTTACAAAGCAAGTTCAGAAAGCTGAAGTTTTGTTATTTTGATAAATTTACAAAATAAATAGGTCAAGCCACAAACATAATAGCATTGCGCTTCTATTCAAAAGTGATGACCATTCTGATAGTTTAGATCTCAAAGACTCAAAGAATACAGGATATAAGGGCTCATCTCAGTTTACACAGGTATGCTTTAGAAGAGTTTAGAACAGTGCTTAACCTCTCAAGAGACCATTGATGAGCACATGGGTGCCTTTAGTACATTAGAGCTCAACTGTTATCTTGGAGTGCTGTGAAAGGTGGCCTCCAGCAGACAGAAGGGGATTCCCTCTTTATCCACAATGGGGTTTCCACACTGTCTCCATTATGTTCGTAGTGTTTCTGCTTTCATCTCCACTACAAAGTTTTTTCTTTATGACCTTAAATACTTGTGGTTTGGCTCACATCAC